TTAAGATGGTCAGGAGCCGCCATCTAGTTGCAGGAGACTGAATTCAGGACCTCTGGAAGAGCAGTGCTCTTAACCACTGAGCCGTATCAGCAGTCCAAAACCCCATCTATTTTGCCTACGAGATCCCTCATTTGGAAACCCCTGAGCTTTATATCTTACCTTCCTCATTCCAATGCTGACTTCTTGAATCCCACCATAGAGAAAGGCAGCCTGTGTACACCAACAAAAAAGCTTGCTTTAGTTAATCGCTTGCTTTGGTTAGTTTGGCCATGATGATTTAGCTCGGTGGTCTTTCTCCTTGAGCCTCTGGAACTAACACAAGAGCAAAAGAGCAGTAGATGGGTGGAGGGCACTCTCCTGGACTACAGAAAGAACAGTCTTGAGTTAAGATGAACTCAAGTCAAATGTTACCACATCCAGGGCAGTTGATCCTGGGGCATCAGGGAATGAAGAAAGGACACACAGAGACACACACACACACACAAAAGAAAACACACCTGCTACTTAATAACCTGATAAACCTCATCAAGTTTATCACATACGGCACAGGGGAGGAGTTACCATGTCTTGGCAGCGTAAATGAAAAACTGGGAAGCATTTGTGTTCGGTCAGCATTTGCCATGGACAAGATCTCAGGACTGTACCTTCAGGGTGGAGCCCTCATTCTCCCTCCCAGTACTGGACTTGCCTCCTTCAACAATACTATGATGTGGGAAGTTGTCAACTGTACTACATTGTTTTATGTCAACTTGACACAAGCTAGCGTCACTGGAAAGGAGGAAGCCTCAACTGAGATGGGCTGTAGGTGAGCCTATAGGGCTTTTTCTTAATAAGTGACTAATGGCCCTCCTCCATTTAATTTTTAAAATGTACTGTATGTGTACAGGTGCTTTGCCTGAATGAATGTCTGTGCATCGTATCCACGCCTGACGCCCACAAGAAGAGGTCCTTGGAGCTTCTGGGGATGAAGTTACAGGTGGCTGTGAGCTGCTGTGTGGGTGCAGGACTCAAGCACAGGTCCCCCGAAGAACAGCCAGGGCTCTTCTGTGGCAGGGCGACTGGTGGGACTGACTGTCCATCTGCCCACCACCACCACTGCCCAGCCAGCTCCCATGGCTCCATGGGACACTGGGGACAAGACAGCTTTATCTCCCCATACACTCTGTTCTCCAATTATTCTGTCTACGCTAATTTTTTACCTTTCTCTGAGATAATTATCATTGCATAAACCTCTCCTTAGTATTTCTCAGCATTTGAAACTCTTTTTTAAGAAACGGGTTTTGCCAGGCATGGTGGCACAGACTTCTAAGCTCCGCTTGGAAGACTAAGACAGGAGGATGGCAAATTCCAGAGCACACTGGAGCGCATAACAAGTGGCTGGGAGCAGGGAGAGAACGTTGTTTTATTGCACCGCCCAGACCAGTCTTGAACTCCTGATCTGCAGCCATTCCCCTGCCTCATCCTCCTCCTTGACAGTCTATAGCGCATGTACTACCGTGCCCTGGTATGTTTTAAACTCTTTTAAAAAGATGCCATTAAAGTTTATTCTCTGTTTTCAATGGATTTGTTAGAGGTCAACACCAGGATAGCTGGAAAACCCTAACTAAATAGTTGGAATTTAAAGAAGTTTCACTCTAAATAATACTGGTCAAAAAAGGGTATCAAAAGGCAAACTGGAAGAGGCTGACGGTCTAGTTCAGAGCTCTCAGCTCTGGGTCCAGCACCCAAACCTGAAAAACATCACTATCTAAGAGTGCCACCAAGCAGCACTTTAAGGGAAGCGTGTAAATTGTACTGTCTGCACTAGAAAAGCGGAAATATCTCAAACCAGCAACCTTGGCTTCCACTCAAGAGACTAATGAGCAAATAAACCCAAAGTGGACAGAAATCAGGAAATAAAAATCAGAAAAAAAATTTAAAATAATCAGGAGAAATGGAGAAAAGAGGATCAAGGAAAGCAAAAGTTGGTTCCTTCAGAGGTTTTCTTTTAAAGGAACTAAATCTTTGCCAGGTATGTTAGGGGGACAGAGGGATGGAAAGCCAGACAGTGGCATATGCCTGTGGACCCAGTGCTGAGACTGGAGGATTGATAGAACCAAGAGTTCAAGACCAACTTGGGCAACACCATGAGACCCTATCTCCAAAACAAAACACCAGAGTTGAAAAGTAAAACTCAGAAACAAGAAGGGTGGTGTATGCTGCAGTTCCATCGGGAAGAGGCGGCAGTTCAAGGTCAAGCCTCGGCCATCCTGGCCAGCAGCAAGAGAGCATGTTTTGGAAGGGAGGGGGGTGTGGCGGGAATTGAATAGTACTATATTCCTTTAAAATTTTGTTTTATGTTTTCTTTCCTCTGTGTGTGTGTCTGTGTGTGTGTGTGTGTGTGTGTGTGTGTGTGTGTGTATTGTATGGTATATGTGTGTGTATGGTGTGTGTGTCTGTTTATGTGTGTGTCTGTGTGTATGAGAGAGAGACATAGAGAGAGTTTAAGGACCACTCACAAGAGTCGATTCTCTGATTCTTTCCCTCCACCTGTTGGCCCCAGGGATCAAACTCACGTCATCAGGCTTGGGGACAAGGACCTCCCCCTTTGTTTAATGATCACAGAATGAGAACCAAGCCCTAACCAGCAACTTCCCGTGTCGGGGGCTGTGTTTTCAAAGCCCTGCTGCTATCTATGGAACTGGATGTGTGCACAGCCAACGCATCTCCCCGGAGTATACACTTAACTTAGGTTTCCATTTCCCTCGGGGGTTGATGTAAAAACCACCACTCTCACCTTGTTTGTCTGCTTTCAAGGCAGGGTTTCTCTGTGTAACCTTGGCTGTGCTAGAACCCCCTTTGTAGACCAGGCTGGCCTTGAAGTCAAAGATCCAGCTGCCTCTGCCTCCTTAGCACTGGGATGGAAGGCCTGCACCACCACGCCCAGCTCTCATCTTAAAGGAATAAGAGATTGTTTATCCTGGAGCCACGAGTGACCACAGCTGGAGAACACAGAAGCATTTCACGAAGGCTTTAGTGTTTCAGAACAATAAAGAAAGTCATAAATCAAGACAACCTAAAATGCCTGGGGTACACCAGAGAGGCAGTACAATGAGACGGGAAGCTGCTCCCTCTGACATTCCATCTCTCGGTGGAAGCCCAGGCACTGCTGAGTCAGCAGCTTCTAAGAGGTGTTTTTATTTATTATCATGAGGTGTTGGTTCAGATTCCGAGTCAGGCAAGGAGTGGCTGTTCCAGAAGCTAAAACCGGCCCTGTATGAAGTAATTACCCTCTGAACATGTGTGATCCCAGTCTCTCCAAGCACAGTGACCTCTGCAGACAAAGAAACTCCTTCCAGGAGTGTGTTCACTGCCAGACACAGCTTCTTTTCAGGAATTCTCACTCACAGGTGTGTGCTAGACATGTACCTTTCACTGAACTGCCCTCTGAGGGCGCCACTAGACTTCAGGAAAGAAGGCAGAAAACAGTTGTCCCAGGCACTGTAAATGCTGCTTTCCTTGTTGCCTTGACAAAATAACCAAAGAAAAAGCAATTTAAGAATGGGCTTATTGGGGTTTGGGGAGGTGGCTCAGAGGTTAAGAGCACTGGCTGCTCTTCCAAAGGTCCATGGTTCCATTCCCAGCCCCCTTGTGGTGGCTCACAACCATCTATAAAGAGATCTAGTGCCCTCTTTTGGTGTGCAGGTGTACATGCAGGCAGAACACTGTAAACATAATAAAGAATTGGTTTGTTTTGACTCACAGTTGGAGGGTCATAATGGCGTGAGCATAAGACAGACAGACAAACTGTGTCTGCAGTCAGTGGGCTAAGAGAGTGCACAGCAGTGCTCCTCTTCGAATATGGATGTGGGGGGGGGGGGTAGCCATGTGTGCAGAGACCAGAGGTTGATCTCTTCCCCCACCCATCTCTTCCTGATTCTTGGAGGCAGGGTCTCTCACTTGAACCCAGACTTTGCCAACTTGGCTAATCAACTTGCTTCAGGAATCCTGTCTCTGGGATTACACACCAGCAGCCATGCCCCACATTATGTGGACCTTGGGGATTTGAACTCCAGCCCTTTGCCCATTAAGCTAGCTCCACAGCCTCCGCTCAGCTCACTCTGTCCTTTTCAGTCAGCCCAGCGTCGCAGCCCCTGGAATGACGCCACCCTTCTGGTGGGCCCCGCACCCCAGTCAGCCTCACTGAGACACTCCCGAGGTCTGACACGCCCCCCGCCCAGAGCGTTTAACAGAGAAGGTGGTGTCAGGAGCAAGAGGCTAGGGCGGTCTGACCAGCTCGGCGTGGGAAAAGCTGAGTCACCGCGAGGACTTGGTTGTGCTTAGACCTGGCATCACCAGCCAAGTGGGATCAGCAACAGACCGGAGTCCACCGAGCTGGGAGGAAGTCTAAACACATGCCCGCACTTACACGCGCCTGGAATTTTGTTCGTAGGTTCAGAGTCTCCTCGGAAGACCATTTGCGTAGACCTGCACCAACCAGATCTTTCTACTTATGTACCCTTGGGGGAAAACCCGGCATTGCCGGCGGCTGGGGGTGTTCGCACGGCAGAAAACAGTTCTGTTTTCTGGAGCCTTTCCTCCCGCGTGGGGGCGCACGGAGCCCTCCAGACCCGCAGAGCTACACCTGCTAAGCCCACTGCCGGGCTCTGTTCCCCAAAGTGCCCGGGCAAGCGGCTCTACTGTGTTAAGTCATTCCAGGGCGAGCTCCGCAGAAGCAAGCTTTGCCTTTTGCAGACGACGGGCTCCCGCCCAAGAAAATTACGTGGCGCTTGTTTTCCTTTTTCTTTTTTCTTGAGCTTTACCCAAAATAGTTGCTTCAATCCGATTGCCACGAGTCCTGCTCACCCCTTTGGGAACAGAGCCTGTCCCTTACCCACGCTCGGCTCTGAACCCGGATCTCCACCCGGGAGGACCGGCGGGAGGAGGCGGACCCTTGAGGAACAGACGGCCCCTCCTTGGAGGGGAGGGACCGACTTCCCAAGGCCTTGCTCTCCAGCAGTCCCAGCGCCAGGTCCCAGAACTTAGTCCTACGCCACGGTTCTGACCACGCGTGACCTGCTGCCCAGCCGGCCTGCGGTCCAGTGGTCCCTGTGTCCCTCGGTCATGTCGTCCTGCAGCCGCGTGGCGCTGGTGACCGGGGCTAACAAGGGCATCGGCTTCGCCGTCACGCGTGAGCTGTGTCGGAAGTTCTCGGGGGACGTGGTGCTCACGGCGCGGGACGAGGCGCGGGGCCGGGCGGCCGTGCAGCAGCTGCAGGCGGAGGGCCTGAGCCCACGCTTCCACCCGCTGGACATCGACGACCTGCAGAGCATCCGCGCGCTGCGCGACTTTCTGCGCCGGGAGTACGGGGGCCTCAACGTGCTGGTCAACAACGCGGGCATCGCCTTTAGAAGTAGGTGTCGGGCTCCGGCAGCGGGTGCCCTGGGTTCTCCGAGGGTGCTGGGCTGCGCCATCCCGCCTGAGCGCGCCCGCGAGGCGGCTTCCCGCGGGCGGCGATCGGGTGCGGGCCCGCCCAGGCGCCCGGCTCCACGCCCTGCCCGCCCAAAGGGCGAGCGGCCTTCGCCGGCCTGTGCGCTGCCCGAGGCCCTCCTGGGAACTTTCGGCTGCGCCTGTTTGCAAAATCCCGGCCTCCTGGGAGGGGACCACGCCCTGCCAGGCTCATCAGCTTTCTGTCCCACGCACGAAGGCTTTTCCCAGAGAGGGGTCTTCCAAAAGCGCTTGGAGCTTTCGCTTCGCGGGAAACAAGGGCGCATTCATAGATGCCCGGAGACATCTGCCGAGGACAGGAAATGGGTTGCAGAGACACAATTAGCGCGCGCTGGCACGATAGTGGGTCTCCTACCGGCTTTAATGGAGCGATTTTGAGAGTGTCTAATAAGGAAGCGAGGCCTTCTCCCCTCCTCCTGGGAGCTAGGTTTGTTATTATCAGACTTGCAAGCGCAGTTTGAAAAAGCATCTTCCTTCAGAGGAAAAAAATCGAACTCATTTACTCTAACAAATGCTCGATTAGCAAAATTATCCAGCTGTCACGTGATGGAACAGAAAGAAACAGGTCAGCTTCCTTACACCACCGCTGGCGAAGAGAGCACAAGTCCGTGCAGCCGGCCCTGGGCACCCACGGAAGCCTTGCGGGAGGCCCACGACATCCTCCCACGCGCACCTCCAAAGCCTGTGGGCTGTGGGGAAGGGCGGGGATCGCCACCCCAGACACGCTGAGCCGCTGACGGAAGGATAGGTAGATTAGGGCCCCGGAACCCCTGCTGCAGAGGCGCGGGCGAGGCGTCTGCAAACCTGAGCATCGGCTGTCCACACAGACGCTGGCACCTGCAGCCCAGGAGCTGCGTCATCACCCAACCCCGAGGAGCCGCCTGTGTGCGGTCAGGCTTGACATGGGTGTGGCAGGAGCACCGCTGACGAGAAGCCTGGGGTGGGGGCCGCAAAGTTCTCTCCTTATGCTCACGGGAGGTTTAGAACCATCAACTTCGATTTTAAAGGTGTGTGTCTGTGTGTGTGTGTGTGTGTGTGTGTGTGTGTGTGTGTGTGTGTGTGCGCGCACGTATTCACAGATGAATGTATCACCAAGCTCAGCAAGTAAGTAAGCTTACTGTTCTAAAGTAAGTTTACTTCTCCTTTAGCTGTTATGTGTTTGGATCTACCTTCCTATATGAGTTACAGTCGGAAGTGGAATTCCTCTGTTTTTTCTTATGCTTTTCAAAGTGGATGATCCAACACCCTTCGACGTTCAAGCTGAGGTGACGCTGAAGACGAACTTTTTTGCTACTAGGAACGTCTGCGCTGAGCTGCTGCCCATAATGAAACCACATGGTAAGTCCAGGGTAAGGCCACTGTTCCTCAGGAGCAGCCACAGTGTGGACCACTGTCCCTCAGGAAGCAGCCATGGGCCCCTCAAATATGGCAACCTGCAGAAATCACCCAGGACTGCTGTTTGTCTGTGAGGTTGCAGGGGTGGGGTGGGGGGACACACGTAAAAACTGCCTTATCTTTTTTTTTTTTTAATCAAAGTGTCTGGCTTTGTACTTGACCCTTTCAGCTGTCGTTGTCAGAACTCTGCAGGACCCATCAGTGTTCTTGGGTCTGTGTCATGAGCTCAACCCTCCATCACAGGATGCCGCCTGTCCCTAAAGGTCTGTGATGGCCTCATGTTGCAAGGATGGGCCAACCCTGGCTTGTCTGGCATTATGACACCTTTTTATTCCTTTCTTATGTAAAACTCAAACACACACACAAACTTATGTGACTCAGAGAATCCAAAAGAAATATTCTTTGTGAGGGAACACCTTACCCCAGCCGTGAGGTTTCAAAAGATTATCAGTTTCCTCCTGATGCTCATTGGGTACCCATCATTACCCCAGCACTCGTGGGGAATTGGGCCATGTATGAGGACCGTCTCATCCACCATCACACACATGAGGACCATCTCCTCCGCCATCACACACATGACGACTGTCTCCTCCACCATCACACACATGAGGACCGTCTCATCCACCATCACACACATGACGACTCTCTCATCCACCGTCACACACATGAGGAGCATCTCCTCCGCAGAGCAGGAACCTGAGTTGGAAGACAGAGATTAACAAAGGATCTAACGTGTGAAATGGCCAGCTTGCTATGGAGGGGCTCTTACTTCTTTTGCCAAGATTAGCTGTGACGCTGAGGGGAAGCCTGTGGCTGTTGTTTTTACATGTAATTCTCGGGACTAGAGAGATGGCTCCGCAATTAAAAGCACGTGTTGTTCTTGCAGAAGACATGGGTTCGGATCCCATGGTTCCCAGCACCTACATAGCTCTTAGCCATTGGTAACTCCAGTTCCAGAGCATCCAACACCCTCTTCTGAACTCTTTGGGCACAGGCATGCAGGTGAATAATGCAGGCAAACATTCATACATGTACATAAACATAAATAGAGCCTTAAAGTGTAACTTTTTAAACTTAACATTTTGAATGAGAATTAACTCAGAATGCAAGAATTTTATTTTATTTTATTTTATTTTATTTTATTTTATTTTATTTTATTTTATTTTATTTTATTTTATTTTATTTTTAGGCAGTATCTCACTCTGGCCCTGAATTTGCTGTGCAGACCAGGCCGGCCTTGCACTTCTGGTGCCCCCTCCTGCCTTTGCTTCCTGAATGCCGGGATTCCAGGCGTGCGCCACCCTACCCAGCTTAGCCGTAAGAAACTTTCAATCTGAAAAGTGTGGAAGAGATGAACTTGAATTCCTACCCACCTGCTCACTCATCCATCATAGATGGGTTCATAGAACACCTGCATCCACACCTGCAGTCCCTGAGTGCAGAAGGTCAGCCTGGCCTGGACCACCCCATCAAATGTAATTCATTCTACTGAAATAAGAATTAGAGCATCCAGCCAGGCGTGGTGGCGCACCCCTTTAATCCCAGCACTCTGGGAGGCAGAGGCAGATCTCTGTGAGTTCTAGGTTACCCTGGTCTACAAGTGAGTTCAGGACATAGAGGGCTACACAGAGAAACCCTGTCTCAAAAAAAGAAAGGAAGGAAGGAAAAGAATCATAGCATCGAATATGAGCCAAGCCGTTTTGAAAGTTAAAGGAAAGACTGTCCGGCTTTGCTACACTTACGTTCATGGAGAGACATGCTCACCGTCAGGGCTTCTTGCTTTCTATCTAGCTTTTGGCACCTTACTTTCCAGGAATGTAGGTTTTGCTTACTTGCCCGAGAGGAAAATAGCCTAGGCAACAATTAAGTCACTAGAGGGAGCTACATGCCCGTTCTTTCTGTCAAGGAGGTGAGGGCTGTTTCTGGATGCATGCATGGACACACACACACACACACACACACACACACACACACACACACGGGTGCGTGGATTCGCTCTCTACTTACTTGCTTATTTAGGGTGTGCATGATTGTCAATCACAGAAGTCAGTTCTCTCCTACTTTGGGGCCTGAAACTGGCTTGGAGGCGAGTGCCTTTACTTGCTGAGCTGCCTCTACGTGCCACCTTTGTGTGTGTGTGTGTGTGTGTGTGTGTGTAATTTATTTAATGTGCATTGGTGTGAGGGGGTCGAAGCCATTGGAACTAGAGTTACAGACAGTTGTGAGCTGTCCTGTGGGTGCTGGGAATTGAACCCAGGTCCTCTGGAAGAGCAGCCGGTGTCCTGAACCTCTGCGCCATCTCTGCAGGCCCCCCACCCCCGGTCTGTTTTCATCAGCAATTACACGCGGTCTGAACGGTGGCTGGGCCTTGAAGCTCCGTTTGGATGCCTTTAATGGTGTTGCCTGTTGCAGGTAGAGTGGTGAACGTCAGCAGTCTGCAGGGGTCAAGGGCTCTTGAAAACTGCAGCGAACATCTTCAGGAAAGGTTCCGATGTGACACGCTTACGGAGGGGGACCTGGTCGACCTCATGAAAAAGTTTGTGGAGGACACAAAAAATGAAGTTCACGAGAAGGAAGGCTGGCCAGACTCCGCCTACGGCGTGTCCAAGCTGGGGGTTACAGTCCTCACGAGGATCCTGGCCCGGCAGCTGGAGGAGACGAGGAAGGCAGACAGGATCCTGCTGAACGCCTGCTGCCCGGGGTGGGTGAAGACCGACATGGCGGGGGCGCAGGGCTCCAGGACCGTGGAACAGGGGGCTGAAACCCCCGTCTACTTGGCCCTCCTGCCTCCTGACGCCACGGAGCCTCAGGGGCAGCTAGTCCGCGACAAACTTGTGCAAACGTGGTAAACATCTGCTCCGGGGCCTAATGGTTTAATAGCTGTTTGAATGGGGCGGTGCAGCCCGGCTCTTGCCAGCATTGAGGAGGAAGCTGTATTCCTTTCTGTGTGGTTCCGCGGGCCAAACCCGAACGGCTCGCTGTGTCCGAACTCTTGGCATCTCGAACCTTCATCCACTTAGTGTGTCTGCTTTGTTTTTCAGATTAAAAATATTTTCGTTTTTATTTCATGTGCTGTTGGTTTTTATCTTATGTCTGTGTGTGTGTTTGTGTACTATGTGCATGCCGGGTGCCCACAGAGGCCTGCAGGGGGGTTTGGACCCGTGGAATGTTGCTATAGCTGCTCAGGAAGGCCCTGCGAGAGCAGCAAGCGCTCCTAGCAGCCCCCCAGCCTGCAAGCTTCCAGAGTCCTGCTGCTGGGAGGGCGGGAAGGGGGAGACACGGGGAGCCACTGAGCTCTGCAGCAAGGCTTAAACACAGACCGGAAGTGGAGGAGTCAACTGCCCGGTCTTTTTCTACTTCCTCTTCGATCACCACCCAACCCCAGTTGGCGAGTGAAGCTTAGGAGACCCTTGCTAGCCGCACCACTCGGAAGAGCACTATATCCACAGCAGCCCTCGATCTGCTGCTCCTCCCCCTCTGGGTCCCCAAGGTTGAGGTGACAAGTGTAGGTGACTTGGTCTGGCTCTAACGGAAGCAGGACCAGTTGAACTGGTTTAGGGCTGGAGCCGTGAATGGCCACACCCTAACCATTGCGACCTTACAGACAGCCTGGCAGGCCATAGCCCTCAAGAGGAGCGTTTACAAAGCTGACGGAGGATGAGCCCCCTTCAACGGCCTCAGATAGTTCCTGAGAGCATGGGCAGCTAAGAGGTGCTTCAAGGCACCCTCATTTCCTCTTTCCCTTAACTAGGTTCAAGTGAACAGTTGCTGGCAGTCGAAAGGAACTTGAATGATAGAAATGCATTCAAGTATTTCATGGTATGTTGTAGAGAAAATGATAATCAGGCTTGAACCCAAAGGAAAGCAAAATCATGAACTGAAGGCAGCCGCTTGTGTGTCACTCTGCTGTTTCCCCGCAGTGTCCCTTGGTCACTGACAACACTATCATTTCCCTTTTTCTTCCTCTTTTTTGGGGGGTGGGGTGGCTAGCATAGAAAAAGTGAGTCTCACAATGACATTGCCACATACCACATGTCCTTCTTAAATTTTTATTTGTTTTTACGGGTGTGTGTGTGTGTGTGTGTGTTAATGACCTGTCATGAGTAAGCCCGGACGTCTGCGTGCCTCAGTATGTATGGAGGTCAGAGGACAACACTCAGGAATCTCTCCACTTCAGGGGCCAGAAATCTAACTCGGGTGTTCAGGCTTTGCGTGACAGGTGTTTTTAACTTCTGAGCCATCTTGACAACCCACGTCTGAAGCAGGGACCTTTTGAAAGAGGGGCTATTTCAGAGTTGGGTTTTTGAAGTAGAGACTCGCTCTGTAGTACAGGCTGGCCTAGAACTAGGTAGCGCAAACTTGTATTCATTCCTGCTCCAGCCTCTCCGGCTTCAGTCACAGGCGCAAGCTGTCAGGCCGCGCATTCACTCTCAAATGAAGACGGATGTAAATTACCTTGTCCTGGGTCACACAGCTGTGGAGAGCTGAGGCACAGCCAGGACCGTGTGAATGAAAAGCCCTTTGGGCTCTGACCCTGGGCACACCTGGTTCTGTTGTAGTCCTACAAGCCATGGGTGACTCTGCTGATACACATATATGTTTGTGCATGTGTATGTATATGGAGTGTTTTAAGACCCTGGTGACCCTTCATCCATCAAAATAAAGAGACAAGACCCTTTACTATTTCCAAGCTTAGGCCTTGGCTGGGCAGACTCAACTAGCTCATCTAAATTAACCCAGACACCAGCCCCATCCAGCCACGTGGCGTGTTATTATACCTTCAAGGCCCGTAGTCACATGGACCCCTCTCCAGTGTCCTGGAGAAAAGGCCTTCCTCTTTCTCTTGCCCAGGAAGTCCCGCTTTCTACTTCTCTCTCTGGCCAGCTATAGGCTGTCAGCCTTTTTTATTATCCAATCAGGGATAATTTGGGAGGCAAAGTTTACAGCAAAGAGCAGCAAGGATCTTGGAGGGGCAAGCAGTTAACGTTTGAATACATAGTAAGTTTTAGATAACCCCAACAAGGGAGATCTTGGGATCTCTGTGACCTTCTCAGGCGTAGAGAGACAAGCCATGGGAGTTCAGCTCAACACTCAGTAGCAAGCATTGGTTCAAACTTCGGACATTTGTCCCTCTGTGGTTTATTTTAGGCATCTCTAAGCATACTTTGGTGACAATGATTCTGGTGATTATTGGCTCAATCCCACATGCACAGCAAAGCATACATGAATCTTTCTGAGGAACAAAGTAAATGAAATAAATAAGATCAGACATGTCTTCGTAAAGTCCATGTGATGCCTTCCATAAAGACAGGTTCTACAGACTGAGAAAATAATGATGATAATGATGATGATGATGATGATGGTAGGGAGGATCCAGTGCCGGAGAAGCCTCTCTTCATTCAGATAGAGCAAAGGTCAGAAGCCAGAATGCACATCTGCTCTAGCTTTCTAGGCAGATGATAGATGTTACACGTGAAGGAACAATGGTGTATACTCAACATTCCCATGGTTCCCATGTGTTTGTTTGTTTGTTTGTTTGTTTGTTTGTTTGTTTGTTTTGGTTTGGTTTTTTGAGACAGGGTTTCTCTGTGTAGCCATGCTGTCCTGGATTCACTCTGTAGACCAGGCAGGCCTCAAACTCACAGAGATCTGCCAGCCTCTGCCTCCTCGAGTGCAGGGATCACAGGCATGCACCACCATGCCCAGCTGGTGCGGCATATTTTAAAGGAACCACACCTTTTACCGTCTATTTCTGAGGCAGATGGAGCCAGAAGTCCCTTCTACCTCAGGCTTTCTAGGTCAGCATTGGTGTGGCACATGTGCCACACCAGCCAGGTAGAAAATCGGAACAGCAAGAACATGTCAGGATGGCATAAGTGAGGATAAGCAGGACAGAGACTCACTTAAGTAGCAAGAGGCTGCAAAGTGGCCACAGCATGAGTATAGAACAGAGTTGCATCTGGCCTCTCCACTAAGAGAAACAGGGGAGAGAAAGAAATGGGTCCTACCAGGCAGAGGCAGAACTTAAGGGCCCACGGAGGTTGCCATCCAGGTGTGGGGACTAGGCTCTTAGAGAATCATTAGCATCTGTATATCCAAACTTCTAAAGGATGGAATAGCCTGAACTACAAAACGCAGTAGGCTTTGTTTTCTGGTGCTCTCTCTTTTCTGAGACAGGGTCTCTCTATGTAGTCCTGGCTGGCCTAGAATTCACTATGTAGACCAGGCTGACCTCAAACTCGAAGAGAGCTGCCTGCCTCTGCCTCTGTGTGTTGGGTTCTAGTGCACCCTTAAATGTCAACAGGAGGGGTGAAGGTTCAGCTAACCTCTGTCCCATAGTGAAGGGTATGCTGGAGTTCTAAAGTTCACATGAATGTGGAATTTGAAGTTCTCTAGTCTGACTTATCTTGCAAGGAACCTGCACACGACTAAGTAGATTTTGAAGTGTAATAACACCGCCTGACCGAAGAGGACACTTTTAAAATCAATTAAGTTTTGGATATAATAGGAACTGAATCCAGAGCTCCACCATTGAGGTTCATCCTCTGCCTAGCTTTTCTTGTTTGGAGTTTTTTGTTTAAGACAATGTCCTAAGTAAACAAGATTTATTTATTTTATGTATATGAGTGTTCTATCTGCATTTATACCTGCCAGAAGAGGGACTCAGTTCACATTATAGATGGTTGTGAGCCACCATGTGGTGGCCAGGAATTGAACTCATGACCTTTAGGAAGAGCAGACAGTCCTCTCAGCTGCCGAGCCATCTCTCCATCCCATCCTATGGCAGTTTATACAAGTAGAGTCCCCATGATATAGGATTATATATTTGAATACTTAGTCACCAATTGGTGGAATTGTTTGGGAAAGATTATAGGTGTGCACTGGGGTTTCAGTGTGGTTCCACACCATCTCTCTCCACCTCTGCCCCTGCCTTGTGCTGACAGAACAGATGTGAGTTCATCTACCCTGCACCCCGTGCCATGCCCGCCTGCCTGGTGCTATGCTCTCCGACATGATAGACTCTAACCGTCTCAAACTGTGAGCCCCCGATGGCTTTCTGTTAAAAGTTGCCTTGGTGGCAACGTGTTGCCACAGCAATAGAAGAGTAGCTAAGACAGAAGCCCGAGGCAAGCAGGGCAGAAACTGAAGAAAAGGCCTTGAAGGACCACTGCTCCCTGGCTTACCCCCATCGCTTGCTCCACCTGGCATCTTATTATTACTGCTCAGAGGTGGCACATCAACCATTAACATCTTAATGATATGCCCTCAGGCCAGTCTCATGGAGGCAACTCCTCCCGAGGTTTCCTTTTCCAGGAAGCTTGCTCAAGTTGACCAAAACTAAGTAACCAGCATAGACTGGTTCTCACATAACCGAGGTGGTGTCAAACTTGAGACACTCCTATCTCAGCCTTATCTCAGTTTTTCCCTTCCTTAACCTCTTTTAGCACAGGCTAGCCTCAGACTAGCTATGTGGCCTGGGCTGGAGGTGAACTCCTGGGATTAAGTACTGGGATTACAACTGAACATCACTATCTCAGATCAGCTCATATTTTCTGAAATAGGGGGTCTCGTGTAACCCAGGCTAGCCCTGATGCCTCCACCTCCCAAGTGCTAAGTTTATAGACATGGACAACCATACTCAGTTCAATTTTTCCTGTGCATGTATGTGTATGCGTGTTCATATGTGTGAGTAAGTACCTATGCACACATGTGCCTATGGAGGCCAGATGTTGACATCAACTGTCTTTTTTGATCACTCTCCTCCTTTTATGTCTTGAGGCAGAATTTATTATTTGAACCAAGAGCTCACCAATCCAGCTAGGCTAGCTAACTTACTTGAAAATCCTGTCTCTGCCTCACAGCTACTGGAATTACAGTGGGCTGCTCCACCTGCCCAGGAGCCCCTGGGTGCTGGGGATTTGAACTCAGGGCCTCCTGCTTGTCATTCCAACATTGCATGATTTTACATGACCGCATGTGCTGGCCACACAATCCTCGACATGTCTGGGAAGAGAGACTTCACCCCAGAAAAGCCTCCATCAGATTGCCTGTAGGCATGCATC